ATGGAGACGCAATTCGTCTACGAAACGTTGGGTTAGTGTCCACAACTGACACGGCTTCTTGCTAGAGATAATACTGATTTCGGTATTGTACATCTCTCACTCTCTGGTACGGTTTGTGGGAGAATACGAGTTGCTGTAGGTACTGTATATTTTGCAATGAAACTGTCCGACCGTACTCTCATTATTGTAAGCATCTCAATTACAGTAAGTCTAGGATACTTTGCCATTCAATTATACGGTTCGAGATTCTAATCGCTTATAATATAAACATTTTGTAGTATTTTATAGGTTAATGAACTGAATGTTCTTTTTCGAATCTAACAGCAAACAGCGTGAAGTTACAATCAATGGAGAAGCTTCTAACTTTAGAACAAACGGATGCTTTGACGTTCTCACCACCAAATGTAAGTACGAACTAAAGTGTCCAGTTACATTTTATTCAGGAAACAATACCAAACGCTTTCGCGAAGAAAGTAAACTGTGTCATTTAAGGCTGGGGCCACACGACCGTACAACGTATGTCCGTTGTAATGCACATCGTGATATCCGTCATAGAATTATGATTTGTAAGTACAGACAATACTATTTTTTTTCTAAATCCTTTCAAGCTGCCGCAGTAATTGGCGCTCGTGGTGTCCTCACCTACGTCTGTACAAAAGTAGGTCCGTTGCAACGGACATACTTTGTACGGTCGTGTGGCCCCAGCCTTAGTCTGGAATGTATACTGAATAAAGCCAAGATTCCAACTGCAGTTGTACCACTTCATGTTCACAGATGGCACATGAGGACAGATGTTTGGTTCTGTGACATATATAGCAGGAAACATGAGGAAAATAAATTCTTACCTAAGCATAATTTCCAGTCATGTACCAGTCAATGTTTTCTCAGAAAAATAGAATAGTATACTATATATTTTATTGATTAAAAGAAAGAAAAAAACAACATAAAAATGTAATGTACCACTTAAACACTAAAATTCCCTGTAAGTAATAAGAACCCAAAGATTTCAATAAAAAGCTTAACACTGGTACAAACCTTGAACCAGTTCAATTCATGTGACATTATCAAAACCTATTTTCTCAAAATCCATTCTTATACTGCCTCACTTTGGGTTTTTACTTGGTCATGTTCCCACAAAAATTTTAAGTGTTCTTTATCTTATTCATTTGAGCTACAAGCCCATTACATTCCAACCTCCTTGATCTAATTGCCCTAACAATCCTGGAAGAAAACATAAATCACAAAATTTCTCATTTTGTGAATCCCTATAATATGATAAAATGTAAGTTAACGTAACCTAATGAAAAAGAATTGGAACATGGGGTACAATTAAAATTTTAAAAAAGTACTCTAATGACAATATATGCATCCAAATGTCAGCCTTGATTAGTGACAACATACTGAAAGAATGGCAGAAACTTACACGCAGCGGAATAAATATAGTTGGTGCGACACTGGCCAGTAATGTTTTCAGGATGTAATCTTTGCTATACTTGCCCCCATAAGGAATCTGAAATAAAGAATATATTTCCAACATAATAATTACATGGTGTTATAACAAAAGATTGGAAAAATTAACAAAATTAGAACCGTATTTTACAAATATAACCGTTAACAACTTACTGTTACTTTAAACCATGATACTGTGTTATCTGGACCATTCTTCTGGCTGAACTGTGAAGGTACAGGGGGGCTGCCACGACCTGGTCTCCTTCTGTTACCTGAACTCCTACATGAAGTTCTGCCACCTCTACCAACAAAACGGCCTCTCCCAAAATATGGGTTGCTGCAAAATTGAAGACAGTGTGATCTCTACAGACATTTACTATAAGTAATAACATATCTTGAGTTAGCATTGTTCTGTTACGGCTTAATGCTGAGAAACTACAAATTTAAAACACTGCAAATTGAAATAATACAGACAATTAATTCCAGTACAAAAAAAACTTTCTTGGAAACTCTGCTTTGTTTCATGTTTGAGTATTATCACTTACCACAATATCAGCCCCAAATGGTGTAACAAGTTATTTTCATTTCAGAATGTTTTCAGTTTTGCATAAATGATAACTCAATCTGATTAATACTTAAGGAGATATTCTTAAAACCCATGTTTGCTTTCATGTAAAGAATCAGCTATGATTCAAAAGTACTCTTTTTATTCCCTTTATTTTATTAAGTCTAAACATCTATAACTACAGTATTTATTCTTAATTGTTTCACAGAAATTCAATTCTGCAGGACAGAATTATATGCCTAAGACAGGAGGCAGATTGGCAGAAACAAAAGTTTTACATGGTTATGAACATATTTATAAATTATGCATGACCAAAATTCAGCCACCCTGCATTGTGGCAGGGCCAACAAAAACTGCTCATCAACTCAAATGATTCACTTGGAGGGAAAGGATCAAGTGCTAAACGTTCTTAGTACATGACAAAGTGAATTTGAGTATGTATCAGCTTAAACACATGTAAGGCTCATCTCATGTGCCATTTTTTAAAATTTGCTATTAGTGCTGGAGCTGCTAGTAGGAAAGAACAGGTCTTTTAAACAACAGAACAACAGACACTAACTATTTTATGATCTGTGATCCTGAGAAACTCCAATGCCAAATATGATTATTTTATAAAGTTCTTAAAAAGAATAAACTTTTATGAAAGTACAAATCAAGGTCAAAAGTACAGCAGTAGCTACATAACTGCTGATTCAAGGACTGGTTTGATACAAAAGATAACTTTCTTCTGACCATAAAGTTCCCAATACCAAAGTTCATTGTGATCATTCTTATACAATAAAGACAGTAACATAAATATATGACTTAAATGGCAGCAAAACAATCTTGAGTCTCTTTCATATCAAGCAAATTAGTCCGGGACAGAAAAAGTTTAAGAACTATTACTTAACAATGCGATTAGCAATTAAATGTACAGGTAACAGGCATCAGAATACCAGTATTATAAACAATTACTTACAACCGCCCAGAACCTCTTCCACTTGAGCCTGGTGTGCTCATATCAACATCATCATCAGCAATACTCGCACGAATAGCCATGTCCAATTCTCCACTTCTAGGATTTCCAATGCGGTTGCTTCCTGGTTTGAAAGATACTCTTCGTATATTGTCATTGACACGATCATCATGTTCTGAAACAAAATAAATTATGTGTATTATGCATACATAAAATTTCTGAAAAAACAGATATAATTATAAATCATTATTAAACAAATTGAAAAAAAAATTAATGTGACAACCAACAAAATGATGACAACAGATGATACATAATTTTCAAAGATCTACTGCCACACCAAATTTCAATGCACTGCATTATGGGACACTGATATTGTTCTGACTTCAGTAGTTTAAAGGTTCATCATCTTGGTATTAATTATGGCAGAAAATTAAAGATGGGGTGGCCTCTAATGGTGTTATATTCATCCAGTTTCATATATACTCAGGATTAGTATGTCTTATATATTGTAAGATCCTTCTGGACCCATTATCTTCCATCCTCTTCGTATGGTGGTTGCTAAGGAGACACATACAGTAAAACTGTAGGAATATGTGGTCACTACATTATAATGTTATTCCTCAAATTTTTGCCCATTTTAAAAATGTTTAATGTATTTATATATTACAAGTTTGTCAACTAATGATAGTGGATTTTCCATTTTGCTTTCAAGTTAAGAAAATACATAACTATAAATTTAAACAAAATCATGCAACCATCCATACAAAATCAAACTAGTTTTATGAAACTTTCTGGGTCAGACCAGTCATTTACTGCTGGAATTGCATGAATAATAACAAAATTGTCCCTTGTACTTAAGCAAACACCATGCCATACAGATATATGAGGAAGTAGAATAATATCTCAAGACATTCGTAACTTTGGCAATTGATGGAGGTGAGTGGTTAGCATCATGCCCTGGCTGCTTCATCCCAGAAATAAAACCATACCTATTGGACTGGATGCTGGTTTGGCCTGAGATGGCCTGGACGTTGTGGAGAAAAAGATCTTCCCCGACAGGAAATGCACCCAAGTCGTAACCTACCCACTATACAGATTGAGCTATCGTGAGAGTAGAGTAAAGTAGAGTTTATTTACATTCCATAGATCCTTCTTAGGACTCAACCAAAGGATGTAGAACATGTCATTTCATACAATATACATACACTTCACAACTTTCAACACAAGTACAAGAACGTATTTCACATATCAATGTACATAAATTTCAGATTCTGCAATACAAGTATGAAAAATAATTTTACAAATTAATATACATAAACCTCAGAATTTTAAATATAAATACAAAACTTGCTTTACATATACGTAGATTATGGATATAAAGCTTAAACATTTTCAGCAGAGATGAAATCATCTACAGAATAGAAGGAGTGAGTAAAGAGGTAATCTTTCAATGCAGGCTTGAATACCTTTATATCATAATTTAGACTTTTAATTGTTGGTGGAAGATTATTAAACAACTTGATACCTGTATAGTACACTCCTTTCTGATATTTAGTAAAGTTAGCATTTGGCACATATAGATCATGTTTGAGTCTTGTATTTAAATTATGTACATCTGTATTTCTTTTAAATTTATCCATTTTTTTTCCACCACAAATGATAGCAAGCAGAGTATAAATTCACTTGCAAGTGGAAGTATATTAAATTTACGAAATAATTTTCTACAAGATACCCTGCTTTTGACACCAGCCAATCTGGAATTTCCTTAATACTGAATAGTGACGACGATTCTCAAACCAACATTTATCAGAGATTAGCCTGGGTAAGAACATTTAGCTTTCTTTTACAATAAGTCACTACAATACCAGCCATCCAAAGCATGGCAGCATTTCCACAAGATTGCGCAACATTTCCACAATATTGCGCAACATATCAACAAGATAGCGCAACAGACAGGTTTATCGTCGGCCGAAGAGAAAATATGAACAACACTGTAGCTCTTAACAGATTAATTTATTGATTCCTAACATTCACTGCCCTGTAACACGACGCACCAAACATATATTTCTGGACATGTAATAACACGAATCATGGCTGCCCTCGCGTACATACATACCGTAGTATTTTTTTCCTTCCCGTCCTCCTCCTTCTGAATTCCATGTTCTATTTACTTTATTACGTTTTGGCATTATAGTATTGCTATACAGAACAGTTTTTACACTTTATATAGTCTGTAAACAATATCTCAAGAATAGAACTATTAAAACTCGATCGCAACGAACACCAACTTCCTCTCTTCGCTCTATCAAGTAGTTCACTGAACACAGCCAAGAACAAAATGGCTGTGCGTTAACCATGGATGCAACATTGCCATTATTATCTTAAAGTAGTATATCGTAAGCAATAAAGTAAGAAACTTTTACAAAGGTGAACAAAATTCCATGCAAATGCAATTAAAATATTAACCAAATTATGTATTTTGTCGATGTTACATGTTGCATTGTTCGCAAAGAGTAATCATATTTAACCCTGGAATACTATGGTAGGGTACTGGATTCCCCAACCGATTTTCTTTCAGGTGCTGTCAAGACATGGCAGCACTGCCTACGTTTTCCTTCCCTGTATTCTCATATCAGACCAATAGGTTTGAACATGTTTTGAAGTGGTTGTGTTCTTGTCCATTAGCATTGTTGGGGAACTGTATACCCCAGTGTAGTATTTAGGTAAGTAAAACTGTGAATGATATTTTAATTTTATTTCAATTATAATCACAATTGACTAAGGATATATATGAAACAACATGGAAACATGTACACAAGTATAAAAGAATGGTTATGTGTTCATTACAGAGTAAATAAGAGCGCTTTTTGCCGGGGTCATGACTTTGTTGTAGAAAGCACATTTGATGCACGAAACTTTCTTTTTAGTTTAGAAGAAAATGGAAAATAAGTCCCTGAGTGAAAAAGAGATTTTGCGAACTCTCTTTGAGAAAGATGATGATGAAGATTTGCATGAAGAAGAAGAGTGCAGTGATGAAGACCATATTGAGGAAGATGTGGTAGCAGACGATGAAATTCAATTGACTAAGTATACACTACCAACACTGCTATTTCGAGCCGATGTGTTTGCCCCAGGAAAAATGACAGAAAAACAACAGTCAAATGTCAAAAGTGTTGTCGACTTGTCTGCAATGCCCACAAAGTGTGTTTGTGCCCTAACTGCTCATAAATTATGTTAAATAAATACTAAAATATCATTAATTATTACGTATAAGAAAGTTCGTGAATCAATAAAAGTTGTCTGTTCAAACTATATATCTCCTTGTCATTGAAATATTGTTCCCCAGTATAGTATTACAAGGATTATTTATAAGTGTAGTATTCCAGGGTTAATAAACACAGCCTTGGAACACATAGACTTGGACAGACTAATATTTAATGGATATTCACGAGGCAGGGTATGAGAAAGGATTTATGTTGCAGGATATGGTTCAATGGTGGGCCCTTGTAAATATTGTAATGAAGGAAGTTCTTGAACAAGTACTATTAGCTCTTTCAGAACGACTGTGTTCCAATGAATGAGTTAGTTGGCCAAGAAGAGTAACTTCAGGTATTTTTCTAGTGATAGTAGTTTATTTCAGAGAAAAGTTGCCATGCTTCACAGCTATAAGCCAAACACATGATTCATGGTAATCAGATTTGATACAGATATTTAAACAAACATTAAAATATCATCTTTTGACACATGCCAACAATGCGGAAGTTACTTCAACTGAGAACTATTACACACTAAATATCTGTAACTATGTATTCATATTTGAATTTGTATTTGTACCAACATACGTATTGTATTCATATTACATGTTCCACATACTTGGCTTGTAGTATGATCAATGTATGGACTGTAAATAAATCCTAATCTATTCAATCTTGGTTCCTAGAGTGATAAGTTGTGCTGGTGGTTAGTATGGGAATGCTGATAAAATTAATTCCAATCAATATTTGCATGTTCTGATTTATCAGAACTGGGAGCAATAATATACATATTACAGCTGTGCAGTCACAACAACACAAGCTTCAGTTTAATTAATTTCATAAAGAAAGGTGAAAAACAGAACAAATGGAGGAACACTTTTTCTTCTCTTCAGTATTTTCATACTGACTCACAAACTCTCATGGAAGGTATACATTCACTTTTGTAAACATATTATTGAGGAATATAGGGTAAATAAATTAAAGACTTAAATAAAAATTGCATTGTTTCTTAATTTATTCTATTTTATATTTAAATATTAAAGATGTCAAAATGCATTTTTTGGAATGAATGAGGTTGTTCATAGGTTTAATTACTTCAAATAATTCATTACTGAAAAGATACAATAATAAATACCTCTGAATTAAACTGAAGGACAAAACAAATGCAACAAGTTGGAATGTAATATATTCAGTGGTAACTGCAGCTTTTCACAACAGTGGTACGTAAAGAACATATATCAAACCTTAGTATCAAGCATTTTTGGTTCAACAGCACATTTTTCCAATTTGAACCCCCAATTCTACGTAATGATCATTTAGACTTTCATGAACAATTTTTGGATATGTCAGAACTTCACGTTACCACATACTGTAGACCTAGAGCACTCTCAACTTGATCGAGCACTCTTCCCTATACACAAATTGTTGATAATGATCTAAATTAGTATTTCCCAGGATTATGGACTGAAAAAATTGGAACCACGGTTCCAGAGAACTTGACGTAAATACGTCTCTGTATTTAAATTACTAGAGCAAACTTTTAAACATTTCAGGTTTTATGAAACATAAATCTGGTATAAGCATAATTAATACTCAGTGCCATGAACAAGATGATGCAAGTCTGTGACAGATATTTTTGACTATGTATATTCCTTTACATATTCTATATATGAACAAAATAAAGTTTTACAGCTCTAAAGTGTCACCACTTTGGAAACAACTGCACTCTGTTTATGCATATCAATTTCTTTATACTACTGTACCTTGACAGTTATTATTGTTAGGAAAGTATAAAATAAATATTTATAGCAGTAAGTTCTGAACTTACCTTCACTAAGTGCACAATCTTTTCATTAGGATGATGGCATGCACTGTTTCAGTGTCAAGCTTAATGGGTGTCTTGCAGATCGTACAGCAAACGATTAAAAATGCCAAAATTGATTGTGTGGAAGAACAAACAAAATACATGACTGCTTCAAATAAAAGTCACAATTATAAAGTAACTAAAATGTAATTCCTAACTTTACATTCACACTAACACACATGAAGAGAAATGGCACAAATTATCTTCATTGGTAGTGAGTGCCCTTCTTTCAACTGTTTTCCATCCTGTATGACTTCATAATACAAATTTTGTATAAGAAACTTGCATAACACTTGAATGTATAAGAAATACATAAAAAGTGATAGTGGAACCACGGTTCCGGAGAATTTGACGTAAATACGGAAAGGAAGTTTATATATTGGCTTTATTCTAAATATTTCCTTTATACCCGCTTTACAATTGAGTAAAGTTTGATGAAGACTTTGCTTATTTAACTTGAATTAGTTATGTTTAAGATGGGTCTGTGGTAGCTGAATGTATTGTAAGGTAATGTAATGTTTTATAGGTAACAACAATGCCGAGTAAACAGATGAGGTTTCCTAGGTAACGTAACAATGAAGTTACACTTTTTCGTTTCCCTTTTTCGTAACACATTTTTGCCGAATGACCCTTCCTTATAGACGTATTTACGTCAAAACAAGGATAGTGAAACAATATAGGGTTAGAAGAAACAAGTCCTAGTTTACTTCTGTGAGTAGTGAGTAGATGGAATGTCCTAAGTAGTGAAAATCTGTCAAACAGTTCTGTTGATGAGATTGGCAAGCTCTCTATACAGGAAGCACTGTCTGTAACAGGTAAAAGAAAAAGAATGATCTTTGTATTAAATCTATTGGATTAATTTCCTGAAAGAAAACAATTTTATGGGAAAATTATATATGTCCACCTACATTTACTTCCATGAAGCCAGTAGAACCAAATGTTGCAGTACACAATAATACAAGGAAATTCAACTAAGGTGGAATGTTACAGCATATGGCTTGAAGTTGAATATTGTTGCTAATCGCGTAAACTCACATTTTTCCTTCGGCTTCCAATTACAGACATATCCATACAAGATTTGGTTCAGTGTTGCAAACAGTTCATTACATGAACAGTTGAAAGGGTTACATTTTATTCAGAACCAATGTTATTTATACACCCTCATCTTTTTAAATTGTCTGGCTTTGTTGGTCAGTACTTCATAACCTGAAACCTGTACATTTAGTTAATTCTTAACTTGCTGCATCAATGCTTATATGTGATCTGGATCACCACAAGTCTTGCCTGAAACCCTGTAGTACTAGTGTTTAAATCCCCTACAGCTGTACAATGAAGGTTAAACTTCCGATGATCAAGTTTAACCTTCAGTACCAAATGTCAAAATATTGTCATAATTATTCAGACTTAAGTAATTCCTGTCATACTCCACACTTACTTTCATCTTATGTTATCACTTGCTGTCAGTACAATGTTTTAGTGGTTTTAAAATGTCAAACCAACCTGCTTGAAGGCTTGCAAATGTTTCTGTGATCCAATGGAGCACCACATAGCTCACCAATCCCAAGATCTGTAAATGAAATTAGTAACATAGTTGTAATATTGGAAATCACAACAGAATGCATTATGTAAGATTTGAGGTTTTCACAGCGGTGAGTATGAAGATTTCTGTCATGCATTCATCGCCATGATGATGGGAGGCAGTATGACCTCTGAAACGTTGGTAAACATCGACCAGACTACACAGCGCAACAACCCAGAAGACAGAAATCTTCATACTAAGAATCGCCCTGATGATGGAGGCAGTATGACCTCTGAAACGTTGGTAAACATCGACCAGACTACACAGCGCAACAACCCAGAAGACAGAAATCTTCATACTAAGAATCGCCCTGATGACGGAGGCAGTATGACCTCTGAAACGTTGGTAAACATCGACCAGACTAAACAGCGCAACAACCCAGAAATCTTCAGAATGCATTAAAATGGAAGTTATTATGTTTTATATATATAGATGGTCATTCTAAAGTTAAGTTTTAGAATAAATGTATATCTTTATATTTTCCTTAATTTCATATTTATACAACACTTGCCATTTTAAGGCTATCAGGTTAACTCACCTGCAGATTCAATGGACACAATCTGAATGTAAAGAAAGGCCATGAATGTTTGAACAGTTTCAATAAAACTAAAGATCTCAACTTGCAGCAGCTTCTTATCAATGAGTGACAGAAACTTTGTATGAAGTTCTAGTACCTCACGGCAATCTGCAAAGATAGAAGTAAATTTTGTGTCAATGCACCAAGCTGAAATCAATTTGCATTCGCAAGTAGAATAAAACATTTTTATGTACAGTTCTGGGGTCCGCAGTGGCCGCGCGGTCTGAGGCTTGGGCCTTGTGCCGCTTGGTCACTGGGACCGTGGGTTCGAATCCCACTCAAGCCATGGATGTCTGTCCTGTGTACAGGTAGAGGCCTTGCTACGGGCCGATCCCTCGTCCAAGGAGTCCTACAGATTGTCTATAGATCAAGCCAACGAAAAAGTTGGGACCCGCAGTGCTCAGGCACTTGAAGAACAGGTCGTTCCCAGTATCCCAGTATGTACAGTTCTAGACAACACCACAGGTACAGTCTTCTTCTATTGCAGGGACTTCTGACAAATATTCTGAATAATTTCCTTTTGCAAGAATAGAGAGCAAAAACCCTATAAAGACGGGGTACTAAGAGCAGAAAATTCCATGTTTTATTTGCTTTCAACCATATTTAAGAATTCAGTTTCTATAGTTGAACCTTTTAAAGGAGAGAAATGGCTGTATTACAGAAGAAATCTAGCTAGATACCGACTATAAACATTATCTATTGAACAGGCAACAAATTACCTGGTTCTGTCAAGAAAATCAAAAGCATAAAAAAAACTAGTCTAATACAGTATCCTGTAAGGAATGACATTGGTCATGCAAAGTTCTTTGGTTTGAAATTTGGCTACACCTCAATTTCTTATTAACTGTAATTGTTAAGAGTTTATGCACTCTATATATCAATATAACAATCAGCATTTTATGGTGTTTGTTAGCAAAGGCTAATTATCAGTACTGATAAAATCTCAATTTTTAAAATAAGTTAAATTTATTTATCTCTCATGACACACACTTTCAGACACAGAGAGGGAAAAAGGCAGGAAAGAAGTACTTACTTTTTTGTACTTCTGTTAGCTCCACTGATTGTCTCAACAGTGGCAGGTTGAAGTCCGCACATGGTGATCCACGATGAGGCACACTGTAGAACATGATGCCACGTGTGTTGTAATAAAATCCAGTAAGATTGTCATCTCCACTCTCAAATGCTGTCAACCAGGCAAAAAGTTTAGTCCATAAAATGTATTCACTTTCATGTGTATACTAACTCATTTTATGAACACTCACAAAATTCTTGAGTGAATGCACATGAAAAAATTAATACACATTTCTCTGTATAATAAAGTTTTGATACTATCAAAAAATTCCAAACTGTGTTCATGTTTTCAGTCCTGTCCACCAGTCTGAAGGTTGGAAACATTTATTAAGTTATTTATTTATGATTTATTAAATGATGCTGTCAGTAACTCAAACCATATTGTGTTGAATGATCAGATGTTTAATATGTAACGAATTAGAAATGATATGGAAGAAAGTGGTTACAGCTTAATTTAAAGTACTATTCTGGAACTTGTCTCCAGGAACTGACAAAACCATGAGAAACTTCTGTCAGGATAGGTGGTGTCTGGGCTGATATTTCAATCTAAGACCTACGAAACACAAAGCACGAGTGCTAACAATTTGGCAGAAATGCTTGTTGTCTGTCATCTAAGTTATCTTTGTATGATTTGAGGTTTTCACAGCAGTGACTATGAAGATTTCTGTCTTCTGGGTTGTTGCGCTGTGTAGTCTGGTCGATGTTTACCATCGTTTCAGAGGCCATACTGCCTCCGTCATCAGGGTGATGAATGTGCCAATTGGGTGTGTGGGGCTAGGTTTATAGGAGCCGGACCGTGGGGCAGGCTCCTCCATCCACGGTCCGGCTCCTATAAACCTAGCCCCACACACCCAATTGGCACATTCATCACCCTGATGACGGAGGCAGGATTG